GCTAAATCTAAAAGCTTGAAAATTTATACAAGTAATAGTTCGTTAAATAATCTTGATTGTGACTCTTTTTTCTAAATATTAACAAAGATAAATAAAATTTCATTATTAATTAATTGGAAATTAACAATATTAATTAATTAATTAATTAACATTAGGTTCTATATAGTAACGATAGTAATTTAATCTCCACTATAAATTTATTATCTTATTTTTATTTATCTTTTTATTTCATCCTTATTTTATTTCTTATCTTGTAACAATATTTTGAAATAAACTTTTAGAATTTTTTGATTCTTGTTAAATAGTTATATTTCGAGGTATCATTTCGGTTAATTAACAATCATGAGTTAACTTTTGAGCTACTCTTGTCAATTAATTAGTTTACGAGCTCCCCCCAGACGAATCTGTGAGTACATTTAATAGCACCAGGTAACTGTAAATAAACAAATATGGCCTTTTGCAATAATATAAAGTTCCTTTTATTTATTCACTTGTGATTGATTTGTTTTAATTGTTTACCCTTGTTTACGTTTATTGGCCGATTTCAAACTCGCTTTGGTTTACTTGCAAAACAACTTAAGTAGCTTGTTTAACAGCCTTACATTTACGATTACAATAACATTTTATTAACCTTGGGACGATACTTCATTAACACCCACTAGTTAACCAACGTTAGTCCTAACCTTTGCTTACTCACTAAAGCAGATTACGTTACTAATCATTCTTAACACTCACTAGTTAACCGACGTTAATCCTAACCTTGCTTGCTTGCTCATTAAAGCAAATAAATATGGTCTTTTACCAAAGCTCCACAATTATTACCTTTTACCAAGGCACTAACTAAATACACTTGTTTCTTTTATCGAAGCGCTATAAACAAAAAAACGGGTTGTTTTGTTTTATTTTTAAAATTTATTAACAATTAATAAAAATAATGATTCTATTAGAGAGAGAGAGACTCTCTCTTATTACAGAGTTTTATTTTATTAGAATGTTAATTATCCTCTTTGAGGACCTGAAATTATGCTCTTTCAAGCGAATATCAGAAGTTATCTTTAACGAAATTTTCGTTGATCCTACAATAAGGATAAAGATAAATATGGGTGAGTTTATTATTGCAAAGTAACTTAATCAATCAATGCTGACATTATAAACATAATTATTTACACAATAATAATTATAAAAAGCTTTTGCGTAAATTTTTTATTTGATATACTAAAATTAGTTGACCCTGGAACATTAAGTACCGAATCCCTCCCTAATCAATGATTTTATCACTTATCACGTTATTAATATTAATTAATATAAGAAATGTTCGAGTTTAGCGGTAAATGAGTGTGTGGGAATTGAATTTGTATTCAGCAAAAGAAAACTTGGTTCCTCGAGAATAACTGATGAAACAAGGGAAGAGATTGGGAAATATTAAAAAAAATATTATTTAAGTTTTTTTTTGCGAACTTTTATATTTTATAGCAATTTTACTTGCTTATTTGACGTAATAGTTTTACAACTGTGGTAACATTTCGTCAAACAACATTACAACAGATACACAATCATATCAAAAAGTATAAACAAAATCTATTTTATTTTATTACTTGTGTAAATTATATGTAAAATTACCCGCACACTAGTTTGATAATAGTGTGTGGTCAACGCACATAATTTCGAGTTCAGATTTTAGACACCGGATCTGCTTCACAAATAAAATGGACGGGCATGCGGAACAAACGTGCACTCACTCATTGCACGTCTAACTTGCTCTTATTATTTTTGTTTTAGTTTTGTAAAAATTTGTAACACAGGAAATATGTCATTTCTTAATTAATTCACTATTTTCGTTAGCTAAAGATTTTTAGCATTAGCATTAGCAGCAATTAGCAAGCTCACTCAAAACTTTCGAGACGGTTTATATAGTTAATATTAATTAAAATTTGTGTACAATAGCTCGCGGTTGCGTTAATGCCATAATCGATAAACTTATCCAGCCTTCGGACATGTCTGAGTTATCAAAAAAAAAAAAAGAAAAAAAAAGCCAACTAAAAATTGTTGACAATAACTCGTGGGATAATAAGTGGTTTTGGTGATCGCGTTTAATGCTTTTTTTTCATAATTGGTGACAACAAATACTTCGAACATGTCCGAGGACTGTTATCAAAAAAAAAAAAAGATTTGTGAATTAATTGATTTGATCGATAATGTCAAAACAAATGACAATAAAGAAGAAGAATGGTTTGTTTTATTTATAATAATAAACTCTTGCATTTTTCCTACTGGGTTGTATGTTTGCCGAATAAGTCTTTGAATAAAAAAAATCTTTAAATATGTGATTGATATCAATCGACCACCATTACTTACAAACAAAAAAAAATTTTTTGAATTATTACAAAAATACTTTATTTTTTAATATAATATAACTATATCTAAAATTCTAAAATTTTTGTTTGGTAATAATAATCATGAACCATCGAATCGTAAACTACACCATTTCAGACTTTGTATCTTCAAATTCTAAGGTTGGTCCTTTTGATCCCATCCTTTCAACGTACACAAATAAATATACTGTCCTTCGATTTTGCTATTTAAAGATGGACGAAAGTATCCTTGCTGAATACAGGAAATTGAGCTACCTGTATCAAAGGGGTTTAAGGAAAGTCAGCCAAGTATTGGTTAGTGTTGGTGTAATAAAAAAAAATTTCAAATTGATTGGCAAGATATTACTTGATTTATATATTTATATTAGACTGTTTGGTATAATGTTGAATAATGATGGTACTCATAAACTCGAGTTTTATCTTGGTTACTTGAAGGTGAACAGAACGTCGTATAAGGTTGAGTTTCCTGCATTGAAATGGCCCGAGAGAAATATATCTATGTTGATGTTGCGAAAAATATGTGGGAACGACCGTGTAACACGTAAAAAATTTCATAAAAAGGCTTACTGCGCATCCTCTGCTTAAACATTGTTTACTACAGTCGGAACTCGTTAGACCGATGTACTTGTTTTGGGCTCAAAGCATCGCTTTATTAAGTAGTCTTCGATAAAATGAAGTTAATATTTTTTAAAAAAAATTTGGCTTAAAAAGTTATACACATATTCGTCTATACAATGTTGATGTGCTCGCGAACTTCTATATAATAAAATGCTACTTCCAACGAATTTTAAAACGAGTAGCAGGGCCTTTATTCGTTGGAGTAGGTTTTGATTGTTTTATAACATAGTATTTCTCTTTTTTCTTTTAATGTCAGTGTATGTTTCATTTTAACATTTTTTAATGTGGAAGCAATACGTAAATCATTTATAAAATTATACAAAGTTTCTTTGATAAACCGATATTATTCGTCTTATCAAGTTATAATTTATTATATGTGGGACCGTATTCAATTTTGACAAGGTATATACTAATTGTTCATTAGAGTTTCGACAGAGTTTCGACAGTCACTAAGAGGTTTTGGCAAGCAGCCTTAGTATGATACATGATGACTTTGATTGACAATTGTAAATTTGATTTAGTAGATCAATTTTTTGATAATGATCATTAGTTTGATGTTGTTCAACCTTAAACACCAATATATTCTTCTAAATTGCTAGTCCACATGCACATGCCAATTTCTTTTGATATTCTAGTTTAGAACTATTCAAATCCTTTGTAGTCCTGATATTTTTATACAAGAATTGCTGATCATTTATATTATTTGCAATAAATCTATCACACTATTCTACAATGCAATGGACTTCATCAATTACAAATTGGATTCCTTGTGATTTTGATAACCTTTCCAACATTTTTTGAAATCCAATATTTTTAATAAATTATTCTGGTGTTGTTGGTAAAATTCTGAAGCTATTTCCATAAAAATTTTTTCTTGGACATGTGGTGGCTGATCTGATGATGCAAGTGGTGTAGCAGATGGAATTCCCATCTTTACCAATTCCATCTGTACATGATTATTTTGATGAATGTTAAATGAATGAATTTACAATTATAAAAAAAAATATAAAAACCATATGCTTACTAATTGATCTTCCATAAGAGATTTTAATGGTGTAAACACTACTGTTAAACCTTTAAAAAGCAATTCAGAAGCTGCACATATAAGAGTTTTTCCACCTCCAGTTAGGATGACAGTAAGTATATCATGTCCTGTAATAAATGATATTATACTTTCCTTTTGTAATTCACGATATTTTGTAAATCCAAAAACCTCTCTACAAAGATCATCAACAAGGACTTCAATTTCCATTGTATGTGGTGTGTTATCATGAAATTGATTATTTGGAATCAGTTTAGAATAGCCATGTTGGAAATTAAATTCACACACAACACAAAATCCATTTTTAGTGAACCATTTTGGAAATGAATGACATCCTTGACATTTCACCAATGAGTCAAAATTATAAATAAGGAAAGAAAAGGATAGTCTAAATTTTGTATTTTTCATTTTTTCCTGCATTATGTGTCCATAAGGGATCAAATCCTATAAAATTGAATTGTATCTTAACTTTGCTGATTTTTTCTTAAAAAAAATTTGTGATAAGAGATATTAACATACCTTTGAAAAATCAAAACTCTTGAGATTTTCTTTTTTATCCATAACTTTTTTAATACATGCTTCATTTCGCTCAGTAATAACAGCCACATTTTGGCTTCTTTTTCGATTTCTTTGTTGTTGAATAGAAGTGTAATATTGATAATGTCCTGTTCTGAAAATCTCACCTGCTTCACAAGCAACCTTCAATAAATATTCTACACCATGATTATTATGTAATATAGCTAATGCATCTTGAGCAGGAAAAGATTTTGGATAATCTGTTTTCTTATCTGTATAATTGATTTTTATATGATTAACAGCTTTATTTTGACTGGTTCTGATAATGGAAATGAGAGTTTGTCTTGATGGTAGTTTCATTATGTGTTCAAGGAACTTAACTAATTCTGAACATTCCTTCCTATTATAATTAATTAAATTTGGCTCTATTAATGTTAAATCAGAATTGTCTACATTCCAACAAAAATCAGGCCAGCAATTTTCATGATTTCCACAAAAATGTGAAACCACCACTTGTGTCTGCATATGAAACAAATCATCATCTGTTGGAACTTTTGTCTTGTATTTTGAGCTATATAAAATTGCAGCATAAACACATTTATTATAATAACTCATTATAGGCTGCTCAAATAATTTCCATTTATTGTTTTTTGCTAGTTAAAATAAAAAAAAGTTAATCATCAATCTTATATTAATAATGAAACTAAAAAAGAATTCATACCAATCTTTGTTCGAAATAATTTTGTTTCATGTTTAAGTCCGCAACAATTAGATGTACTATCTGCTGTCCACCCAGTACCTTGTTGCTGTTTAAGTCACCATCAATACAGATATCAAGAACAATATCATACTCTTCGAGAACTGGTATGCTTTTTCCTATAACTTCTATAAGAATGGCATGCTCCATTTGGCGAGAACTCATGTTGTAGTTACCTTAAATATCTTTCCTGTTCACTCACAAAAAGTTGTTCTTCCTGATCGGCAGTATTTTTTTCTACTTGGAATTTCATCTAGAAGCTCTTGAATCCAATTGATTTCAACACGTTCCTATTTTTTTAAAAAAATGGTAGCATTTTAAAAACAAGTACAATAAAATATGTCTTCATTTTCTATTTGTATTTGTATAAAAGTTATATTTTTACCATGACTTTTGATCTTAAGCAAGGTTGCAGGGAATTACTCAAAGTATTTATTAAAAAAATCTAAAAAAATTTTTATACGGGGAAAATTTTCACTATAGTACGAATAATGTGGAATATATATTAAACGAATTGATTTTTAGATAAATTCTTCTAATTAAAGACATGTAGTAGTCACAAATTTGGTGCTTCCTTGAAAAATATCAAATCCCGTGACCGGCTCCCTAAATATTTGTTTGTATCCTTAAGTTTTAATAAAACTCTCAAAATAAATATGTCATCACCAATTAATAAACCAAACTTATCCATAAAAACACAACAGCAACAATATTCAATCGATCCAATAAACGAATCATCATTATCGTCATCAATTCATAATGCAACTTTACAAGATATAGCCATCGGAATAAATAGGATTGAAAACATTTTACTTGATTTTACCAAGCAAATGTCTTTACTTAATGAAAACATTTCTCAAATAATAATAAACCAATCACCACTATCACCACTATCACCACTTCCTCAACAAGTATCAGAAACTACATCATCACCATCATCGAACCTTAATGTACATAATAAAGATAACCTTGTGCATCAAGTTGACGTATCACAAACTGAAGTCAGAAGAAAAACAAGCATCAGAACTTATAGGGAACCTGATGCACTTGGTCATTTATCCTTACAAGTTGCTACATTATCTACAAATGTGGCTCAATTGCTTTCTCAACAGCAACAGCAACAGCAGAAGCAAGTACCCTCTATACAGATACCACACCAATTACCATCAACTATAATACCAAAACAAACACATCCTCATCCTCCACAACGTCCGCCTCCGCCTCCGCCTATTACATCTCTTTCACCGTCACTGCCTTCTCCTTTAAATTATAATTATTCAAATTTATTAAATCCACGAACATTAAATAATCAATTACGTAATCATCGTTGGAGTTATGATTCAAATCGAAATCAAATAATCCAACATAATTATCATAATCATCAACAACATCAATATCTTCATCATCATTCACCTATTAAATATAATAATATAAATAGAGAAAGTATATCAGTAAGATGAAGCTATATTATCATTATCATTATTTATTAAATTAAATTTATTTTTATTTTATTTAACCGTAAAAATTTTTTTATAGCGAGATTTACAAAATATTGACAAGGAATTGGATGATCCAATCGATAAATTTGAAAATATGAGACTTAGACCAGAATTACTCCGAGGAATTTTAAATTTTGGGTAACTAATAATTATTTGATTAATTATTAAACTATATTTATATTATTATTATATATATTTATGTATTATCATTAATTATAATAATAATAATAATAAAGATTAGATCGACCAACTTCTATACAACAAAGAGGAATCCCACTGTTACTTAACGGATTAGACGTTATAGCGCAAACACAAATAGGACAAGAGAAAATAGCAACATATTCAATAACGATTTTACAAAACATTGAAATATCAAATTATAAATGTCAGGCCTTAATAGTTACATCAACAATTGAATCAGCGGAGCAGATTTATCAATTCATTCTCGGCGTATCCAATTTAATGACAAACTTGGAATGCTTTATGTGTACTGGAGGAGCAAACAACGATGAAGATGTTAGAGAAATAATGAAATTGAAACCACATATAATTATTGGTACTTGGAATCGAATATATGATTTGGTTAATTTGAAATCAATTGATTTATCTTATCTAAAGATCTTTGTAATCGATGAATTAGACATGCTGATTCAACAAGGATTTAAAGATCAAGCAATTGAGATCAGACAACAATTGCCATTCACGACTATTTTACAAACATTATTGTTTGCATCAAATATTACATCAGAAATGATGGATTTTAGTAATGTGTTGAAAATGAGAGAACCAATCAAGATGTTGGTTAGGAAATCAAATGATCAAAAATTATTAAGTTCACCACCATTAACATCAATACCATTATCACTACCATTACCATCATCGCCACCGCCACCTCCGCCAAAATCATCATCTACTTCTATTAATAACACTAATAATAATAATAATAATAATTTAAATGTTAGTGCCAGTAACTTTAATAATAAAAGAATTTCCAAAGTTATTATAAATGCTCCTCCTATTACAAATAGCAAGATCAATAACAACAATAATAATATTATATCATCGACAGTGAATAAACTCAAGAATAATAATAATTTACAAAGTTTACAGAAATTACATGAACAACAAAGGAAATATAATGAAATGAAAATATCTATAAAACAATATTATCGTTATATAGCAATGGATAAGGGTGATTGGAAATTGGAGACGTTAAATGATTTTTTTGATGACATTAAAAACCTTCAAACAATAATTTATTGTAATAAAGAGAAAACAATTGAAAAAATATGTTATAAATTGGCATTAAAAAATTTGGAAACTGTTGCTTTGGTTTGTATATATTTTATTGTATATTATATATTATATATTGTATATTAATTATTTTTCTGGGGGTTTTTTTTTTACAAAAAAAAGCATGAAGAAATGGCGTCAACACAACGTGAATCTATTTTAACAAAGTTTTTAACAAACAAAGTTCGAATATTAGTTACAACTTGTGTACTAATACAAGGGAATGATATATGTGAATTTATACCTTTGATAATAAATTATGACTTGCCAGCTTCGCCTGAAATTTATGGGCAAAGGTATTTATATAAATTTTTTTTATTACTAATCGGATGGCAAAGGAGAGAAATAAACCAAACTTTATTATTTTATATATATATATAGAATTTCATGTGCATCATCTAATACTAAACAAGGCATAGTGATTTCAATTATTAACTCGAGATCAAAAGAAATGGGAAAGTTGAGAAATATTGAAGAATTTTATAAATTTAAAATGCTTGAAATGCCTGATAACTTGTTTTCATATTAAAAGTTATTTTGTATATTTAATTATTATTATTTATTGTTATTGTATTATTATAATAATTTGATCATTTGTATATTTAATCATTAAACATTATTCTTATCAAATATCATGGAGAATGCTCCAGTCAAGAGATTTCAAAGTTCAAATTTTAGTAGCTATTTACCCCCAATAGCCAATAATTGTTTATTTTCATTCATCATATGGGACACGCTGCAACAAAGTGCGCGCGTGAGAAAACATTTTCAAAATCTCCAACTGTTGATAAAAGTTTTTGGTTAATAAATTTTACATTTATTTTAGTAGCCCAACAAAATACCACAAGCAATTGTGGAGACCTTTTTATTTCTGTTATATTGATCACTCCTTTAGCACTACTGAAATTTTTGTTTTTGAATTAATGCCTGAAATCCTTTTATCAAAGTTAATTGAGATGAAAACTGAAAATTTTACGCAGAACAGTGAAAAATTTTAGTATTTTTCCTTTCTATTTATATCGTCTCCTTTATTTATCCATTTCCTATTTCACCCTATCTATTCATCCATCCATTTGAAAGTATATTGAAACTCGTTTACATAAGATCTACCATGGAACCCAAGAATTACGGCATTAGAGGAATTTTGGAAAAGGAACAAGGCGAGAAAATTGTATAAATGATACAAGTAAAACCACTTGACGTAATTAAAAACACTTGACGTAAGTAAAATGCTTGATACAAGTAAAACACTTGATACAAGCAGCAATAATGATAATGATAATGATAAAATAGGATCATCAAAAGTTCCAAATTATGTGAATAAAGAATTATTATATCATTGTATGTATATTGCAATGTGCAAGAAGAATAATTATCGCGGAAGCTTACAAATGTTATAATTTGAATTAGAAATTTTACTTATTAAACTATTTGTTTTTTCCGTATATTTTCTTTCGAAATAAAAATGCCTCTTCTTTTTTACAAATTAAAACTATCCTTTTATTATTACACAATCAAATTGACTTTACATACATATGAGTTGTGTTAAATTCGTATTTTTGACTTTTGAAGTTAACTACGCGTAATAGTGATACGCAATAATATTAATAATGTGCTTGAGCTGTCTTTAA